CCCCCCCCAACCTTGAGAGTGATTCAAAGCCAGCAAAACGAGTGAATAGGACAAATGTTGTTATCACACTGAATCAGCCCCAGAAAAATATCGCATGATTGTCAAGAGCGTCTAATCCGTCGTCACCGTCATCAGCATTCAAGCCAACCGGGGACCCTTACCTATTTCCCCCTTTTCCCCTCTTCTCCTGCGCTATACTCCTCCCAAGCTTGATCTGGGGAGCTATCTAGAGTAGACGGGTCGACTACATTTGCGATGATCAGGTGAGAAATATTAGAGAGATAGGAGACTCAGCTAATCGAAGAAGGCACAGGGAGTATCATCGCCTTGGCTTGCGTGACAGGACCGATTGATGTCAGGAGTGGATGGGAGAAGTCGGACGAGGCATTTTTGGAGGTGAATGTCAAGGCGTTAGAAGGTATATCAAGTGAGCAAGTTGCACGTACTACCGTGTAGAGAATCTGATCGTTTGTCCAGGTACTCAGGCGAAATCGATCGCGCAGACGCTGAAATCTGCCCTCACTCCATCCCTCTTGCTTGGACGGGCACCAGCACGCTCATTCAACTCACCTCATTCAACTCACCTCATTCAACTCACCTCATTCAACTCACCTCATTCAACTCACCTCATTCAACTCACCTCATTCAACTCACCTCATTCAACTCACCTCATTCAACTCACCTCATTCAACTCACCCTACAAGCACTCTCTCCTCCCTTACTCCCTTCGAATTTTCCCCAACCCCAAATATCGCGATGTGGAAAAGCGGCGATGAGGAACGCCGCTACAGCCGCGTTCCTCGACGCGGGCAGCGTGAGCATGCGTGATATCGTTTGCGCCTGTGCAGTTGGTACTAGGAACGGTGCGCTTGTGCTTGACCCGACAGAGAGGAATGGGCGTTTTTGGTTTCCTATTCCGCGGAACAGTGCCAGGAGAGCTGGTGTGGGCCGAATCGGAAGGGGAAGACGGAGACTGGGGAAAGATCGCAAGAAGAGAGCCACAGATGGGGGCGGAGATGGTGAGGGACTTTATGCGAGCGCAGTTTGAGTGAGCAGCAGGTGTTGTGCAGGAGGACGAGATGATGAAGTAGAGCAGATTTGGGTAATAAACATTAACATGTAACACTAGCTACATACACAACAAAGAATAGCATGTAGTCAAGGGACTTGATCAATGTTTTAACGCGTCTCGGAGTTTGCCTGAAAAAAGTGCATTTGGTCAAGGGGACCTGCGCTTCCTCAACGCTTCACTCTCTTTCCTCTCACAACAGCATGGTTGCTGTTCCAGTGTCGTCGCCCAAAATCAGGGCAGCCACTTTGCACTGTCGAATACCTCTTTATCTCCACCTATATGCCTCACCATTCGTTATTCTATGGTCCATCTTCGGATATGCTTACGTCATCAAGTACGAGAAATGGTTTGCGGCGCAGGAGCGGGCATTCATCGCTGGATCGATCGTGCTCGCCTGTCATCTCTTCATCTTTCTCATCACTCAATGCAGCGCGGGTGTCAATACGAGGCTGACATGCGTAAATGTAAGCACCTTTTCATTGCATGTGTGACACGAACGCTGATCTTTCATACAGGCGTCATCGCTCGACCAAGCGGATTGCATTCGGATCGTACCGACGGAGGACAGAGGGAAAGATATGACCATTCCTCTCAGGAAGACACTCACGAGCCCCATAACCTACACATTCGTCTATCAATCCGAGACATACATCTGCACTGCTGGCAAGCCCTTCACTCAGCTCCTCTACCCATGCGACTCTCGTCCCCTGCTGTCATCGTTCACCGCCATTGGACTGTCGTCGTCGAATCTGCCTGCTCTGCGGGAGTCTTATTGTCCCAACACGTTCGATATACCCATGCCGTCCTTCGGCGAAATCTTCGCCGAACATGGCGTCGCGTCTTTCTTCATCTTCCAGATGCTCTGTATCGGTCTTTGGTCTCTGGATGAGTGTTGGCACCACAGTCTATTGACCGCTTTTCTGCTGTCGGTGTTCGAGTGCACGGTTATGTTCCAGGTGCGCCTCTCGCAGATCGACGCGAGTGGACGCCTGTCCCAGCGCGTCGACACACTGAAGGAGTGCCGGATAATGCCCATTGCGCCATTCCTAATTTTATGCTATCGCGACAAGAAGTGGCGGACAGTCGATACGGACGAGCTAGTCCCGGGCGATATAGTGTCCATTAGTGAGTGGACATGCTACCTATGTGATATCGTTTGACTTAAAGACGCAAGCGAGAAGCAAGGAAGATACCGCTGTTCCTGCCGACCTTCTTCTCCTGCATGGATCAGTCATCATGAATGAGGCGCTCCTATCCGGAGACGCAACACCTCTGCTCAAAGAGAGCATCAAGCGATGCAATGGGAGCGAGAAGCTGGACATCAATGGAGCGCACAGCGATAGCGTACTTTACGGAGGAACGAGGGTGTTGCAAGTACGGCCAGGGGAAGTCACCGCTGAGGATGGCGGTTGTATAGCCGAGGTCCTGCGCACAGGCTTCGGAACGACACAAGGACAACTCATTCGGAGGATGCTATCCACTACGGAGGGAGCCTCAGCGCACAACCTCGAGTCGTGGCTCTTCATCGAATTCCTCCTTATCTTTGCTATCGCCGCGCTGTGGGACGTTTGGGTGCCCGGGCGACAACGTGGCATGTCCACCTACGAGCGTCTGTCCGACTGCATCCTCATCATCGCAACCGTGGTCCTGCCCCGATTTCCCAAGGAGCTCTTGCTGGTGGTCAACTGGAGCCTTATCACGCTGTACAAGTACGGTTAGTATTAGTTCGCGAAACTGGTGAAGCAGAAATTCATCGCTTCTTAGCAATGTGTCCACCTGCTGGCAACGAACTATCAGTTGAATCATCCGTTTCTGAACGTCCTATAGGATGCGGAAGCACCGGTCTCCTCGTTTCGTACTGTAGCCCCGAGGGCAAGTGTGTGGCCAAGAAGCCGCATGACCATGCGCCAGGTTCTCGCGAGGGCATTTTAGACGAAATCAAATGCTACGCGATACTAGATACTGGTCCCGAATGTCCGTGGGTCATGCGCTCATTGGGGCACGACAAAGAAACTTGTACCCTGTATCTTCCTTACATGGAACACAGGGATATGGACCGCTACTTTGGTGGCACGGCTCGGACATCCCCCTTAATCAACGCATCAGGTGGTGCCTTCAGGTGACGTGTGCAATCGAGGCAATACACGCCCAGAAGGTCATCCATGCCGACCTCAAGCTTCACAATATCCTCCTCGATGAGCAGCTGAACATCAAGCTTGCCGACTTCGAGGGAGCGTCGTTCCCTGGCAACTACCACGGAACAGCGTCTATCGGCCCTCAACTGACAG